GGATGAAGCTGGTCTCCGAGGAGGCAGCTCCGGGCAGCGGCTCAGAGCGCTGGCGCTGGAGTCACAAACCGGGGCTCAAACCCTAGTGGGTCTGCTCCCCGCTGCGGAGCCACCTTCCCTGCTGGGCCTCAGTGCCCCCTTTTATAAGCGGGACCTCCGCGTGCCGTGAGGACCCCCTGAGATGACGTTGAGGGCGCACAGAGCGAGGTGCCTGCTCCAGGTGAATGCTCGGTATGGGGCAGCCACGTGTTTAAAAGTCTTGCTACTGATCTGTCAGCCCAGTGCGAGGACAGGACGCGGGAGGAGTGAAGGAGAAAAGGAGAAGCAGATCCAGGCTTCCTCGTGACCTGACCACACCTGGCACCCAAAGCAGCCAAAACCAAGCCCGTGGTCTGGCGGGCCTTTCTGGAAGTCCCCGGCGAGAGGAGCCAGGAGCCAGGCCGCTGAGGGTGGGGGAAGGGACAGCATCCTGGGCCAGGGCGTGGCTCAGAGCTCCCTGCCCCTGCCCCTGCCCCAGACCCTCCCGCCCCAGACCCAGCAGGGGCTGGCAGGGGACCAGGCGGCTCTCTGCAGCAGCAGGTCTGCGGAGGAGTCAGACTTAGGGGCACCCAGCTGGGACTCGGGGCAGCTACTTACTGTCTGGTTCCTCGGGGACCTGGAATCTGCAAAGAGAAAAAAGGGACAAGTTCACCAAGGAGGGTCTGGCAGCCCTGGGCCCTGCCCGCCCCACACGTGGACAAAGGCCTCCCCTGGCTCCCCCGTGGGAGCTGATGCCCCATTGGGCCCTCTGTCTGGAGAGCAGAGGGCAGGTTTCAGGGTCCGTGCCTACTCCCAGGCCCGGCCACAGGGGCTCACTGCCCAGTGCTCACTTCTCCGGGGCTGTCAGAGAGCAGGGGACTCATCTCTCCTCCGGCCCTCAGGCCCCTGGACCCCTCCCCAGTCCACCTGCCCCCCCACCCCACACCCCTCTCCACACACACACAGTTCAGGGGAAGCATGTGCTCGCTGGAGCCAAAGAGGCTCCCACTGACTCAGAAATTGTCACCACCTTGCAGCACGCGGGGCCTGAAGAGCCCAGAGCTCCCCAGTCACTGTGTGAAGCGCACGGAGGACCTCGAGGAGGTGACAGAGGGGCTGGCGGCCCTGAGGACGCTCCTGAGTCGTGTGCCAGGCGAGCCTGAAGCCAGATGATCCTGGAGCGCTTTGGGCCCGGGCCCTCTGAGTGTGATTTTCTGTGACCTGTGCTTTTAAAAGCCCATGTGACCGCCTTCGAGGAGGACAGCTGCTCACCAGTCCTCCCCCTCCTGCAACCACACCCTCAGTGGGCTCAGGAGGTGCTGACACCATGACTCTTAGGGCTCGACCTTTATCCTCTCCTCCCACGCCCTATCCTCCACTCCAATTGTTTTCTCATATTGAGTGGGATGCCAGGTCACAGCCAAGTGTAAGCTATGGCCAGGCATCTGGTCTGTCCTAGAGCAAACCGGCTCCCTGGCTCAGACCACGCTTCCGGGACGCACAGCCTTTTCGGAGTCCGGGAGGCCGCCTGTGGAGACTCGGGATCCTGTCAGGTGCACACCTGACCGGAGAAATCAGCTGAGTCACCTCCAGAACATTCCCCCTGATTCCAGCAGCTCCGAGGAACCACCAGCCCCGAATCCCAGCTAGAAACTCATGGGAGGCCCAGCAACCACGGTAACAAGTGAGAGGGGCCGGCTGAGCCGTGTGGACACATGTTGCCCATCAACAGGCAGAAAGTGCCTAACGGGGAGACAGACCAGAACAGCCATGAAAAGCAGCACATGTGCACAGGGACCCAGTCCTCCGTCCTGGATGTAACAAACGTGTCGCACTACACTGCCTCTGACAACTGCTGCTCCCAGCAGAGTGGTCACCTGGGGAGGCCGGGCTCACTGCCACCGGCGGCCACTGTCCACTGCCCGAGCCAGCACTTGGCGCCCTCTCTGGCCGGAGGCACATTCTTTTAAATGATGTCAGTGACACTGAACCTCTCTCCTTGGAGAGTGATTCTGTGTTTTGCCAACTTTGCCTGGTGCCAAGTCACTGGGGGGAGGGAGGGGTGACACAGGAACAAGACAAAATAAATAAAAATGATAAAACTCAGTCTTGGAGGGGACGTCGGTAAACACGTCCTACGAATGTTTCCTGTGAATGCTTCTTGAGAGCCAGCTGGCCATGAAAGTCTCACACCCTTTGCCCCAGTAACCCCCCTTCGGGGCACACCCTCAGGAAATAACTGGAAAGATAACAAGGCTGTGCACAGCCTGGTATTTGTAAGAGCGACTGCTGGGAGCGGGCCAGATGCCACGGTCCCGGAGAGGAGGCCTCCTGGCAGTGAGACCCAGCACACAACGCCACCTCGCCCGGCCTCAGTCATCTTAGCTGCAAAATGGGGATGGGTCGTGCCAACGTTGGAGGGTTTTTGTGAAGATTAAAGGAGATCTCGAAATTGAAGGGGCCCGTGACCGATCACCCTGAGAGTATGCCCCCTTGATCTGATGTCATTAAATGACCCTCCCCCCGGTCCGTCCCCTACCCTAAACCGATAACCCCAATCAAATCGGGACAGAAACACTTGGCAGGTTCCAATAGAAGGGCCTCCTCCAACATAACGGAGCGGTCCTCCTCAACACTGCCAAGGTCAGCCGTGGGCAAACTATGGCCCGTGGGCCAGATCTGGCCGTTTGAAATGAATAAAACTATTGGGAAAAAGACCGTACCCTTTTATGTAATGATGTTTACTTTGAATTTATATTAGTTCACACAAACACTCCATCCATGCTTTTGTTCCGGCCCTCCGGTCCAGTTTAAGAACCCATTGTGGCCCTTGAGTCAAAAAGTTTGCCCACCCCTGGCCAAGGTCATCGGAAACAACAGAGATCAGAAACATCACAGCCCGGAGGAGCCTAAGGAGACCTGACGACTTAGCGTCACATGGTGTCCTGGGTGGGCTCCTGGAACTGCCCGGCCGGCGTGGCTCAGTGGTTGAGCATCGACCTATGAACCAGGAGGTCATGGTTCAATTCCCGGTCAAGGCACATGCCTGGGTTTTGGGCACAATCTCCAGTGGGGGGCATGCAGGAGGCAGCTGATCAATGATTCTCTCTCATCATTGATGCTTCTATCTCTCTCTCCCTCTCCCTCCCTCTCCGAAATCAACAAAAATACATTTAAAAAAATAAATGTTAAAAAACTAAGGTGATGTGAATAGAGGATGGGCTCTACTGAACAGCCCCGTTTCGATGTTGCTTATTCACTATCACGAATGAATCCTTCTAATGTCAGATGTTAATAACAGGAAACTGGGTGGGGGTACATGTCTATTATTGTCTCAGGCTTTCTGTAAATCTCCTCTAAAAAATAACGTCTACTTAAAATATGTTGGCATTCAGCCCTAGCTGGTTTGGCTCACTGGATAGAGCGTCGGACTGCGGACTGAAGGGTCCCGGGTACGATTCCTGTCAAGGGCATGTACCTTGGTTGCAGGCACATCCCCAGTAGGGGCTGTGCAGGAGGCAGCTGATCGATGCTTCTCTCTCATCGATGTTTCTAACTCTATATCCCTCTCCCTTCCTCTCTGTAAAAAATCAATGAAATATATTTTAAAAAAATGTGTTGGCATTCAAAAGGGGAGGCGCCCAGGACGCTGCCTGGCACCCGGCAGGCCCCAGGACGCTGGCGCTCTATCACCACAGAGAGAAAGTCAGCACTTGACACTGAGTCTCAAGAGGAAGCACAAAAGGCAGAATCCAGCAGGTGCCAACATCCGCCTCCCGCCGTGTTACAGCCCACGTGTGCACTTTGATAAAGACTCCGAACAAACTGTGCCAAGCACAGAGGTCGGATTTCGTAAGAGCTTTTCCCCTAAAAATGTTGCTTCAGTCCGCTGCCTTCGTCGATTGGTTTCACTCCTTTTGGAATAACTATGATCTTCCCATAACCGCATCCGGCACCCCAGGACGTGAGTCCAGGGACACTGGTCATCAGTGGCCCTGCTGCGACGGTGCCTGGTGTCCTGGGGCTGCCCTGCGGCCACCTTGCTGAGCACTGCGTTCTGACTCCCAAGGCATCGTCCCTTCCGTCCTCCTTACTCTCCCTTTCTGTCCCATCCCCTCTCCGGCCTGAGGTCCAGCTGCTGTGGGAAGCAGAACAGCCAAGGAAAGGGTTTGGCCCAGAGGTTCAGCCAGGCTCTGGCACTGGCTCCCTGACTCCAACCCTGAGCTCCCTGGAGAGCTGGCAGACTCCAGGGCAGGGCAGGAAAGTACAAGCTAAGCTGGGAAAACCTTTAAGAAGGGCTCCCGCCCTGGCCAGTTTGGCTCAGTGGATAGAGCGTTGGCCTGCAGACTGAGGGGATCCCAGGTTCGATTCTGGCCAAGGGCACATGCCTGGGTTGCGGGCTCAGTTCCCAGTAGGGGGCATGCAGGAGGCAGCCGATCAATGATTCCCTCTTATCATTGATGTTTCTATCTCTCCCTCCCCCTTCCTCTCTGATCAATAAAACATATTAAAAAGAAAAAGAAGGGCTCCCAACACAAGGATGGGAACAAACGGGCACAGGAGCCAGCTGGAAGTGGCCCCCCTCGGCCCAACCGGGGACAATCTGAACCTCAGACTAAACGCCAGTGGCAGCAGAATAAACTCGGCACGCACACGTCGGGTAGAACCACAGTGAAGAGAAGGAGAAGTCTGACAGAGGAACAGGCTTTTCACGGCCTCCAAGTAGCGCCCCTCAAAGGCGGAGCCATTACCACGGAGAGAAGAGCAGCCTCCGCAGGAGAAGCCTGGCAGACACCACCCTGGTCATCTGATCAAGGGCTCAGTGTGACCCCCACCAGCCACGGGACCAGAGGGACCCGGGAGGACGGAGGCCGCCAAGAAGCGCTCAGCGTCACGATGGGGCTCTTCCCACCAAAGGTGCACCACCTGGATCCAGTCGCAAGGACACACCAGGCAAAGCCGAGGTCAGGGTGGAACCCTCCCACGTGGCCAGGTCAGGAAGGTGCAGGGCGTGACAGGCGCCGACCAGAATCACCGAGACACGGCAGCCAAATGCAGCAGGAGACTCTGAACGGAATGCTTTTGCTGCAGGGGACCTTGCTGGGGGGAATGGGGAAACCTGAACGGGGTCTGAGAACTCATTGGCGGTAACACATCAAGGCAGATCCTCTAGTTTAGATGGCTTGACTCCGGTTGTGTAAAAACATGACTTATTCGTATGAAACACACACACACACACACACACACACACACACACACACACACGTATCAGAGATGACGGGCCTTACGTCGGTGACTTAGATGGTCCAGGGAAAAGGAGTTCTGGGTACTGTACTTGTGACTTTCCTGCGAGTTCGAAATTATTTCCAAATGACGACACACCATTTTTTCCAAAGCAAACCTGCCTGAGTGAACTGAGAAAGTCATGACTTTCGTGTCCATCAAAAGGAAGGAGGAAAAGAATTTTAACGGTGTTTCCCGACCAGGCGTGACCTCCCGCCAGGGGCCACCTGGCAGTGTCTGGTGACATGTTGATGGTCACACTGGGAGGTGCAGCAGGTACCTGGTGGGTCTGGAGACCAAGGAACTGGCCAGCACCCTCCAATGCACCCGACAGCCCGGTCCCAAATGTCGATCGATGAGGGGGTGAGACCCTTTTTACAAAAGCCTCGCCACCAACAGTAACAGCGAGATCCCGGTCAGACTGCTTTTACCCACGTGGCCTTACACAAGTCCCCTCCTTCCTGTGCCTCTGTCCCTCCTCCGTGAAATGGAGGCATCAGCAGTGGCTGCCTTGCAAGGATGCTGAGAGGGGTCAAATGAGATCATGTATGTGCTTTGCAGATGCCTGCCACCAAGGACACACGGCACAAAGTTAAATCATTTCAAGAGCAGAGCTGATGGGGGAGCATCGAATGGGCACCTGCCCGGATCTCCAATGTGCTCCGTCAGGCACCAGGCCCCCCGCAACCCTGCTGTTCCCGGAGGGGGCGGGCAAGGCGCACACTCCCTTCCTGCTAGCCTTCCGCCCCTTTGAGCAACTGACACAGGTCTCAAAGCCCAGGAGAGCGACGCAGTCACCTCCATTCTCAGCACAGGGCCACTCGGAATCCCACAGTGACACGATTGGAGTATATGAGTGAGCGAAGAAACGCATGAACGTTCCTCCACTGCTGCACACCGCAGCTGCCTCCACACGAATGGGCATCACCGGCTCAGTCCGGGCTCATCCTGTGCCCTGCATGCCCTCCCCTCCCTTCCCTCTCAGCCTGGGGACCCCCAGGCACCCACCGGAAGCCAGAGGGCCAGACCCGGCCACCCCTGAGTCTCAGGGCTCGGGGTTCCTTGTAGGTCTGGCTTCTTAAGGGAAGGTGCTTTTCTCTCTCTCTTTCTCTGTGTGTGACAAAACTGCTATCACAAAGGATCGAAGAAAAAAATAAACTGACGGCAATGGAAATTCTAATACTAGAAAAATGTCAAGAAAGCAAACCAGGGTTTCAATGAGATACTGAGCCTGACAGCTCATGGAAAAAGGCTTGAAACTATCAAAACACGAAAAACCCCTGCGGAGGGAACACTAGCACCTGCTTGTGAAACTCATCAAATTCAAAACAACCTCGGTGGACTGTTTTTCAAGCCCAAGTCAAAAGTGGGGCTAGGGCAAGCCTCTCCAAGGGGCGTGGGGGGAGGGGCAAGGGGGCCGTGACTTGGCCTGGGGCCCACCACTGGGCTCTGGGTGGGCAGGGGCTGGACAAGGCTTGGGGGGTGGAAGGCAGAGGGGATGGCGCCGGGCCTCTACAGTCAGAGCAGCAACCTCAAGGACCAGCACTGGAGCCGGAGCCCGAGGGGCGCTTACGAGGAGGTGTGGCCCTGGGCCAGGTATCTGCCTCCTTAAGGGTCATCACCCATCTCCCCTGGGGCTCCTGGGAGACTAAATAGGGGAGGGAGCCTGCCCTGCAACCAGAAGGGACACTCAGACCACTCATGTTCGCTGCTTCCTCTGTGGCCAGGGCCCAGCGCGGAGTGTGCAGAAGACCTATGCCCTGCCCTGTAAGGGCTGCCCAGGAGAGGGGCCCTGGGCACAAGACCCCCACCAGGTGGGTGCTGCAAGAGCCTGCTGCCTGGGTGGGTGGGGAGGACCGGGGCTCCGGAAGGCTGCCTGGAGGAGTTGGCCTGGAGGCTGGGCAGGGATCAGAGACAAGGACCAGGGAAGGGTTCAGAACAACCTAGCAGTGAGGAAGGCCTGGGATTCCTGGTGAGGTCAGGCCCGGGCACAGGCAAGTCAGCAGACTGCAGCCGCTGTTCAATGCACACGACGCCCGCAGGCGCTCTGCACAGGCCCAGCTCCACCCACCCGCACGCCCGCCCTCGGACTAGGTCCCGCTGTCCCCATCGTAGGGATGAGGGAACTGAGACACAGAGGAATTAAGTAACCTCCCGAGGTGTAGCTTGTAAGTGGTGGAAGCAGGATTCCAGCCTTATCAGCCTGCCCTGCTGACCCCTATGGCCCTCGGCTGCCGGAGGAGGGGAAAGGGGGTGGAATGTAAGAGAGGGAGGCTGGGAAAGAAGAGAGGAGGGAGGGCATACCCTCTCTCCCTCTCTCTCTCTCTCTCTCTCTCTCCCCCTCCCTCCCTCTCCCTTCCTCTCTGAAATCAATAAAATATATATTAAAAAAAGAAAGAAAGCCTTAGCCGGCGCAGGACGTGGCACAGTTTCCGCCACATTGCATTCCCTTTGCAGATGAGGTCACAGAAGAGGAGCAGCTTGTGGGATGCCATCAAGAGGGAGCCCCACGCCCAGGGCCCAGCCTGCTGTGTGTCCCTGCGGCTCAAGCAGCCCCTCCCGACCCCTGACCACTTACCCGCAGCCTCGGGCTTGGGCCGGAAGGTCTGGACCGGGTAGCACAGGTGGAGCTCTGGAATGACATCAGGAGGGGACTGGAGATGCCAGCCTCCGAGAGAGCACCCGCCTCCCCAGGCCCCGCGGACACATCACTCACTCTGCTGCATCCACTTCCAGCAGGCCCTGCGGTGGCACAGGAGGAGGGAGCCGGCGCAGACGACCACCGCCAGCAGCGCCAGCAGGCAGAGGAGCACGGGGCCTGCAACACAGAGGTGGGCCTGCACTCTCCGCCCCAGAGTCCACTTCCCAGGCTGAGCCAGGGGCCCTTGCTGCCCCACACGGGACAGCCCTGCTGTCTCCACGGGGCTCCCAGGACTGAAACCAGACACAATACCTGGTCCAGCCCTCACCCACCTGCCTGCCCTCACCTGCTCCAGGAAGCCCGTCAGGGTGGATTGATAGTGGGGAAAAGGGCAAACCATTTCTAGAGGGTGGGCAATGGAGGAGGCAGGCGGCCAGAAGGCAGAACGGAAGGACAAAGCGCGAGGCCTGCGGAGGAGGCGTGTGATGGGCGTCCCCTCTGGACTGGAAGCTCCATAAAGCGCTCTCAGCCCTAGGCCGCAGGTGCCATTACAAACACGGGAAACTGAGGCTCTCAAAGGTGAAGTCAAGGTCACCCTGAGGGTAAAAGGCAGAATCTCGGCTCCAGCCAGGCCAGGGGGATTCCAGTGCCCACGCGCTGAACGCTATCTGGGTGTATCTCTTTACGTCCTAGTATTTAACTTGCCTCCCTTCTTCTTTTGTCGCTTACGAAGATCGTGTAACTAGTTACTGCTTTTCGTGCACGTTTAGATGCTAAAAAAATGTGGTTTGTGCCCATAAATGCTTCTCAAACTTTAACGTGCAGAGGACTCTCCGGGGACTGGGGTAAAAAGCGGATTCGGATTCTGTAGGGCTGGGTGGGGCCATCGTTTGTTTTTCTAACAAGTTGCTGATGCTATGAGTTCAGGGACCAGGCTGAGGACCGCTGGCCTGAGGACCGCCGCCACCCGGTGTGCAATGCTGGAACTGCAAGTCCTAGAATGCATTGCCCTTAGAGCAAATGTCTGCAAGGGAAGGTCTGGCCGGGGTAGCTACATACTCCCCTGCATGGTGCGTGCTATGACAGCTCTACATGGGAGAAAACGGGGGCTCAAGGGCATGAAGCAACTAGTCCAGGTCATAAAATCCTTCACCAAATACTTCCTGAGTAGCAATTATGGGCCACGGGGAGGAAGCTGTGAATGAAATCCCGACCCGCAAGAATTAATGGGTGGCAAGTGGCAGACCCACAGCCCAGGAAGCTGGAAACCCGGGGTCCACCTTTGGCCCCCTACCCAGTGGATACTGTAGACCGGGGAGAAGCCCCCTCCTTCCGCCTGCCTGGGAGGAAGGCCCTGCCTCCTGGGGGTGATCATTACCTGAAACCAGGATGGGTCTCCCCGCGGAGGAGAAAGAGACAGGAGCACTTGTTGAGAGGGAGGCGTCCTCCCGGGCATGGGTGGCACCTCCTCCATGCCCCTTTCCGGCCAGGGAGATGTGGGAGGCGCCGGTGCTGTGGGCAGAGAAGCCAGAGGTGAGGCTGAGGATGCAGCCGGAAGAGGGGGCTTGCTCAGGAATGCTTCCCTTTCCCCAGATACCATCCCCAGGCAGGGGCTGCACTTCCAGGCTTTCTGGCTTGGTGCCAGCACAGAGCTGAGCACACATTCTCCAAAGTGACTTTGGGGCTTGGCACAGAGCTCCAGCCTGGACCCCACCTCCCTTTCCAGTCCAGTTCCCCAGAAGGAGCCACAGAGTCACCTGGTCGGCACCTCGCCATCCTCTGGGTTGGTGCTGCGGTTAAGGTGGGTCCCCAGGTGAGGCGGCTCGTCGGTGGTGTTCCTCTCAGCTTCGCCTGCAAAGAATGGTCTTCAGAGTCAGTGCCAGGAGCTTACCCAGCAGGGACTGGTGGCCTCCAGGAGACCACACGGCAAGGCCCCAAGGACATTGCAGTTGGGCAGGTTTGTGTCCTGGCTCTCCTCCTCCCTTCACCTACCCACCCCACCCTCCTTCTTTCCTTCCATGCAACAGTTCTTTATTGAGTACCTACTATGACTCGGGGTGCGGGAAGCTATCCATTGTCAAACACTATCATGAAAGCGCAACAAGGAACTCAGAAAGCTGATGAACCTTGAGCTCTAGCAAGGGCTAAAGCTATGCACCGATTGTTCTGTCTAGACAGTGGTGGCTTGAAGCAATTTCCTGACCTAAGAGCCTTTAAGTAAATCTTTACTAATATTTACTGACCTTTGAGATAGTCTGTCTGCTACCAGATTGCTGTGCCTGAGGGCAAGATGCGTATCTAAAATTGAATAAAAGCTAACAGGTCCAGGGCTTCAGGGAGCTTTTCCTCTAGAGCAGTGGTTCTCAACCTTCCTAATGCCGTGACCCTTTAATACAGTTCCTCATGTTGTAGTGACCCCCAATTTCATTGTTACAAATTGAACATAATTAAAGCATAGTGATTAATCACAGAACAATATGTAATTATATATGTTTTCTGATGGTCTTAAGCAACCCCTGTGAAAGGGTCATTCGACCCCCAAAGGGGTCGCGACCCACAGGTTGAGAACCACTGCTCTAGAGGACAGTTTCCACCTGGCTCCCCCATGGTTTCTACATTCATATCTCTTGTCTCGTGTTTTCATGTGTGTGTCAGCCCCTTCTCCAGATCCTGAACCCTTGCCATGCTGGATGTGGCCCCAGGGACTGTGCTGGGAGCTGGGATAGAGCAATGAGTAAAATACACAAGATCCCACCCTCGGGGACTCACGGGCAGTGAGTATGATTCAGGTGTCACACAGAGCATGACACCTGGAGCAAGGGACTCAACCTCTCCTGAACGGGGGGCTTCCCCAAGGAGGGGGTTGCTGGGATATGAGTCCACGTGGGGGTATCGGCAGAGGACACAGAAGGTGGGAGGCCCAGGGTGGGAGAGAGGAGGGCACGGCGGAGAGGCTGGTGGGAGGCCGGAGAGGCTGGGGGTGGCCACAGCAATACACTCAGGTCTTGTGCACACCCTTATTCACAGAGCATTCCTCACAGCCGTCAAAGAAGTGGGAACAGCTTAGATGTCCCTCAACTGGTAAATGGGTCAACAAAATGTAGTATACCCGTCCACTGGAATCTTGTTTGGCAATAAAAGGAACAAAGCGCCCTGCCAGTGTGCTCAGTGGTTAGAGTGTTGGCCCACCCATCCAGGTTCATTTCCTGATCAAGGGCACACACATACCTGGGTCGCAAGTTTGATCCCCAGCCCCAGTTTGAGGCATGTGTGGGAGGCAACCAATCAATGTGTCTCTCTCACATCAATGTTTCTCTATCCCCCTTCCTCCCTCCCTTCCACTCTCTCTAAAAAATCAATGGAGAAATATCCTCGGGTGAGGATTAACGAAAATAAAAATAGAAGGAACAAAGTATTAACACATGCGACAGCATGAACGAACCCCACGTGTGTCATGTCCAGTGAAAGCAGCTGACACAGAAGAACACATTCTGAAAATGTCTCTAAGGGTCTAACCTAGAGGGACAGGAAGTAGATTAGTGGGTCTCCGAGCTGGGGATGGAGGGAGGGGTGGGGTGGCTATTAATGGGCACGAGGTTTCTTAGATCATGGTGTTAACCTGAAAGTAAAAAGCCAAAGTGAGAGGCAACAAGGGTTTATTTGAGGTAAAAAAAAAAAAAAAAAAAAAAGTTATCTGGGAAGCCCTGATTCAGACAGAAACCCGAATGGTGTTCTGATTAGGAAGCAAAGGCGGGGGTGGTTACGAGAAAGGGAAGGGGGGCGGTCACATCAGCAGAAGGAATATTACGTCAATAGAATATCAATCACATCAGCGAAGGGGAGGCATTGCTATAGGTGCAGATAAAACAGCTCCGTGTGGTCAGTCCTAAGGATGGCTTTCCTGTCCAGCCCCGTAGTCATCTGCCTGGCATTCCTCATATCTGCCTTCTTGTTATCTCTGCAAACAGTTCTTCGGAACACGAGGTTGCCTAGGCCCAGTCCAAAGGCTCATTTGCCCAGTTCTAACATTCCGAAGGTTTGAGGCATAAGGCACGGCTCTGACACCACTTTAAAGTGGCTCCCTTTATAGTTCCTAGATTTTTTAAGTGGTGATAGTTTCATAACTTTGTAAGTTTCTTTTTTAAAAAAAATATTTTTTTATTTATTTCAGAGAGGAAGGGAGAGGGAGAGAGAGATAGAAACATCAATAATGAGAGAGAATCAATGATCAGCTGCCTCCTGCACGCCTCCCACTGGGGATCAAGCCCATAACCCGGCATGTGCCCCGGCATGTGTCCTGGTTCATAGGTCAACACTCAACCACTGAGTCATGCCGACGGGACTGTAAGTTTCTTAAAAATCATAGATTTGTACACGTAAAGGGAATAGATTTTATGGCATAGGAATTATATCTCAATAAAGCTGTTTTTAAAAATCAAGTCTTAAATGGAGACATCTGTAATAGTGTCAACAATAAAAATAAAGAAAAAGATAAGTAAAAATAAAGTCTTTCTCCCCAAAGCAATGATTTTTTTAAATAGGTTTTTATTGATTTCAGAGAGGAAGGGAGAGGGAGAGAGAGATAGAAACATTAATGAGGAGAATTATTGAGTAGCTGCCTCCTGCATGCCTCACACGGGGGATGGAGCCTGCCACCCAGGCATGTGCCCTGACCAGGAATTGAACCGTGACCTCCTGGTTCATTGCTTGATGCTCCACCACTGAGCCACGCCAGCTGGGCCAAAGCAATGATTTTAATTAGTGATGGGATCAGTGTAGGTATAATTCCCCACCTTGCCCACATCAAGACCCTTCTCTACATGACTCTGCACTACCTGGGAAGTCATATTTTTTAGATATGTCTACTTAGGTAAGGAAAACAAAAGAGAAACAAATAGGACTGCATCAAAATAAAAAGCTCTTGTGGAGAGAAGGAAACCATTAACAACAACAAAACCCAAACTACTGAATGGGAGAAGACATTCACCAATGACACATCCAACAAGGGGTTAATATCCAAAATATATAAGGAACTCATATACCTTAACACCTAAAAGACAAACAACCCGATGAAAAAATGGACAGAGGACCTGAATAGACATTTCTCCAAAGAGGACATACAGATGGCCAACAGACATATGAAAAGACTCTCAACATCATTAATCAGGGAAATGCAAATTAAATTACAGTGAGATACCAGCTCACACCTATCAGATGGCTATCATCAATAAATCAACAAACATGCCTTGACTGGTTTGGCTCAGTGGATAGAGCACCCGCCTGCGGGCTGAAAGGTCCCAGGTTCGATTCTGGCCAAAGGGCATGTACCTCGGTTGTGGGCACATCCCCAGTAGGGGGTGTGCAGGAGACATCTGATTGATGTTTCTCTCTCATCAATGTTTCTGGCTCTCTATCCCTCTCCCTCCTCTCTATAAAAAAATTAATAAAATATATTTTTAAAAAAATAAAAAAATCAGCAAACAAGTGTTGATGAAGATGCAGAGAAAAGGGAACTCTTATGCACTGCTGGTGGGATTATAAATTGGTGCAGACACTATGGAAAACCATACGGAGGTGCTTCCAAAAATTAAAAACAGAACTACCATATGATCCAGCAACACCACTTCTGGGTGTTGACCCAAAGAAACCCAAAACACTAATTCGAAAACACATATGCACCCCTATGTTCATTGCAGCAGTATTTACAGTAGCCAAGCCATGGAAGCAACCTGTGTCCATCTATACTAATAATAGAGGAATATGCAAATTGTCCAGGATGCCGTCACAGTAACGACCGTACAGCAGGCTACGTGGGGTGACAAGGTAGGCAAGGGGGTTAGTGAGGGACGACCAAACAACTAAACAGCAGGTTGCGGGGGGGCAACGAGGGCAGCAGGGGGGGCAGTTGGGGGTGACCAGGCCAGCAGGGAGGGAAGTAAGGGGCAAACAGGCCAGTGGGGGACAACTGGAGTGACCAGGCTGGCAGGGGGGGCAGTTAGGGGCAATTGGGCCAGCAGGCAGAGGCGGCTAGGGGTGATCAGGCAGGCAGTCAGGTGAGCAGTTAGGAGCCAGCGGTTGCGGATTGTGAGAGGGAGGGATCTCGGATTGGAGAGGGTACAGGCTGGGCTGAGGAAACCCCCACCCCGTGCATGAATTTCGTGCACCAGGCCTCTAGTTCATACATAAATGGATAAAGAACTAGCGCCCTCTACTGGCAAAGCTTAACATCATGCTCACAAGGAGAAATGCTTCAAGAGGGTCCTGATGGTGAACTGGGAGCTGAGAGGCAATCCATTGATAACAAGCACACCTTCTAGAAGCCATCGCTTGCCCTCTGTTCTTTCACTGCTCCTTTTTCATAGCATTCTGCTCTCACTGTGTGGATGTAACAACTTCCTGAATTTTTCTGTGGACACGTTTAAATATTTTTTTAACTTTTTAAATTTATTTCAGAGAGGAAGGTAGAAGGAAAGAGATAGAAACATCAATGATGAGAGAGAACCATTGATCGGCTGCCTCCTGCAAGCCCCATGCTGGGGATCAAGCCCGCAACCCCGGGCATGTGCCTTTGCCCAGAATCGAACGCGGGACCCTTCAGTCTGCAGGCCGACGCTCTATCCACTGAGCCACACTTGCCAGAGCCGTTTGAATCTTTTAAGTTCTCGGCTATTCCTAGGTTCATCGTTGCTTCAGCTGCAGGAAGTTTTCCTGTTCGTGCATCTTGTTATTCTCTGGTTTTCCCTGAAGCCTGGACATCTTCACTGCTCGCTCACGTTACTTACAAAGGACTACTGGCCACTCCAGGAGCTGGTGGGGTTCCTCGTGCTGTGGTGTCAGTGTGTCCTTTCCCCACTGGGTCTCTTCCCAGAGCAGGAGGTCTGCCTGGCACCCCGGCCTGCGGGTGGGGCCTGTGGGCTGGCGTCCTCCCCTCGGTGACAGGGCAGCGACAGACCCTGCACAGGCCGTGCTCCCAAACACACAGCGAGGGCGTCACACCAGAGCGGCAGCACCGCGCGGCGAGCCCTGGCTTCCCACAGAGACCCCTTCAGGGTCTTTAGCCAGAAAATTGATCATTTTCCCCAGGAGGTAAAAGCCCAGGCACCACCTGCCCAGACTGCTCAGTGTCCATGGTCACCACTGGTATAGATTTTTTAAAACTTTATTTTAAAGAGGAAGTTATACTTAGCAATTCTCCATTTCACTCCCGTCATTCAGTGGGTTTGCCTGCTCTGAGCCCAGAGCTGCTCTGGGGGGTCTGGTGAGCAAGTCACCTCTCTCCTCAGGAGTGAATTCTGGGGTGAGCTTCCCTCCCCTGGGCTTCGCTTGTCACCCCCCTTTCCTCTCTTCTCTGCTTCCTAGGGGTGTGGGGGGCCCTCTCCGCTGCTGCAGAGCCTGCTTTCATTTCTTTTCAGTCAGAGTTTCGACTTTTCTGCAACCTGGCCACTGTCCACCGGCTTGACCTGGGGGCCTCTTTCCACGTGTCTATCTTGAGTCAATCAAATCGCCTTGCAAATAAGTCGAGATTTTACCAGCCCAACAATTTCAGGAAGGAGAATTCTTTTTTTAATCATCATCAGAAATTCTGACCAAAATGACAAATGTGGATTTCATGCCGCTCACGGGATCTAATTATTCAAAGAGCAAACAAAGCCCGAACCCGGCCTAGGTCACAGCTGGGGTCGCAGGCCCTTTGCCTCGTGGGGGTGGGAGCGATACGGCTGCCGGCTGCTGGGCACAGACCTCAGCCCCCGGTCGGGGGTGCGCGGCTTACCCTGGCATGTGGTGACCACCTGGGGTGGGACAACAGGGCCGGCGACGCAGCGGGCACAGGAGTTGGTGGCTGACGTGACACAGATCATGCCAGGTCGACATTCACAGACGCGGGAGGAGTTCCACGTGCAAGGTGTCTTCTCCACGAGGTAATCTGAGGGGCACAGGGAAAGGGAGAATGGAGGGGGGCAAGGGCAGCGGGTGCAGGAGACCCCGGAGGGTAGGGGTGCATTTGCCCAGGAGCAATTATTCACCTGACTTCCCCATCGAGCTGGCCTTCGGCCCGCTCCGAATAATGCCGCTGAGCAAAAGCAGACAAGAAAGGAGTCTGTCCCACACGCTTCCGCTCACAGAAAGTGCTGGAAAGTGCAGCTTATTCCATAGTGAGGAAGCAGACGGACTGCTGGGTGTGGGTGGGGGGCGGGGCGGGGGGAGGGAAGATAAGGGGCATGAGGAAGCTTGGGGGGAGATGGGTGATTATTACCTTCACTGTGGGGCGGTTTCACAGTCCCATACATATGTCAAAACGTATCAAATTGCACACTTTAAACACGGGTGTTTTATGAGACATCAACTATCCTATATAATAAAGAGCTAATATGCTAATTAGACCGGATGGCAGAATGACCTTCCAGAATGACCTTCTGGAATGACCTCTCCCGCTCCCTCTCCCTCTCGGCCAGAGAATTTCATGCCCCGGGCCTCTAGTATCTCAATAAAGCTGTTTGAAGGCATCCAGAGGGCAGGGTGACTGGGCATGGGGATAGATGAACCAAGACTGACCCCGATTCTTTGAAACTGGTGATCATCCATCCCATTCCCGATCCCCTCTACTTCTGAACAAGTTTGAAATCGTCAACGATAAAAAGGCTTTTTTCCAACAGCAAATAAAAGGCTAGAGCTTTCATAAAAGAAAAGGTATAATAACGCACCTATATATGTTTGGAGACATTTTGCATCCTCTATTTATGTGAGAATAGTCACTGCCTCAGATGAGACCAGTGTGACTTGCTCAGTAAGAGCCCTTCTTCTGGGCCGTTTACTGAGAGGCCTCACATGATACAGGGAGGGGCCACACCCCCGGAAAGAGCGGGAACTGGCGGGCACCGGGGGAGTTTGTGCAAAGGGCAGGAGTGAGATGACTGGGGATGATGACAGCTATCACCACTACTGTGGCTATTCATATCATCATGTGCGTGCGAGGCAGTGTTCCTAACGCTCTATCTGATTCATTCAGTTTCATCTATTTCGTCCCCACAGCTCTCTGCGATAGCCCTATTATTACGCCCATTGTACAGAAGAAAAAACTGAGGCACGGGGAGGTTCGGAAGCTGGCTGGAGTTGCTAAGCTACCAAGTGGTAGAGCCAAGATCTGAACCTTGGCACTTGGGCTCCAGAACCTGTGCTCTTAGCCCCTCGCTGCCCCTCAGGCTTCCATTACGAGTTAAAGGAGTGCTCGGGCCAGAGCCGGCTCTTGTTTCTCCATCTGACGATGGCCACAGCAACAGTCCGGGCCCGTCTGCTCTTCCAGGGCTCTGGCACTCACACACCGAGAGGCTCGATGCTCCCCTTCCCTTAACTCGCCTGGGGTCTGTGCCCACCTCAACAGGGAGAGGTGGTGGAAGTCGCGCCGTGTGAGTCCAAGGCAAGGTCATATTTAAATTCTACCAACCATGTTGGACAGTATCTTTTCCTTCATCATCTTACCAACAGATATCAATCTTTCTAATTTGGGGGGATCTTATAGGTAAAATAATGGCATCTTATTGCATATCTCTCATTCCTAATGAGACTGATCATTAAAAATATTTTTATTAGGTGCCGAAACCAGTTTGGCTCAGTGGATAGAGCGTCGGCCTGCGGACTCAGGCGTCCCAGGTTCGATTCCGGTCAAGGGCATGTACCTGGGTTGCGGGCACATCCCCAGTCGGGGATGTGCAGGAGGCAGCTGATCAATGTTTCTCTCTCATCGATGTTTCTGACTCTCTATCTCTCTCCCTTCCTCTCTGTAAAAAATCAATAAAAATATATTTTAAAAAAATATTTTTATTAGCTATGGTATATGATTTTTGTCTCCTATGAATGGCTCAGTTTTATAGATTTTGTCCATTTTTCTGCTTGGTTGTCATTTAAAAATAAACCTGAAGTCATTCTTTATTTTTAAAAAAAAAAGAAGAAGAAGCGATGTGGCTCCTCCAGTCCTCCCCGCCCCCAGTCCTGGGACCCAGCCACCAGGCCGCGAGGAAGGCCAGCGTGAGGCCCCACATGGCAACTGGCATCGGCCCCCAGAAACGCAACGAATAATGCTCAGATGCTTCCAGCCTCCAGCCTTCGAGTTTTCCAGCTGAGACCCCAGAGTCGTGGAGCAGAGACCAGCGGTCCCCCAATGTCCTGTCTGAATTCTGACCCCCGGAATCCATGAGGACAGCCAGTGGCTTGGCTTTCGTACTGAGTTTTGAGAGAATTTGCTACGCCGCCTCTCCTGGAACAGCGGCCCCCAGGGACAGACTGCTCTTCCCTGTCTGGTCTCCCCCACGCTGGCCGGGGTCGCTGCCTGGAGAAACCCCGGACAAGGAGACAGAGTCATTCCTTCCTGCGATGGCCTCTGTGACGAGCCGGATGCTAACAACCTAAGAAGCCTGAGTCCTGGGCCACCCCCCGGACCCGTGTGACCCTCCTGGACGTCACAGGGCAGTTGGTGGTGCTACGAGGCTGCGGGGAGCTGGCCCCCGGGAAAGCACCTCCAGATGTCAGCCTGCTGTGCACACAGCGGCCACCCCCTAAGTATCTGCTCCAAGAGGCAGCGCTGTGTGGGGACCAGAGCCCAGAACCTGGCGGAGACACCTACGTCAGACTCCATCCCTGCCACTGTGGCCTTTGTGGCCCCTTGACTTCCCTAAGCCTCAGTTTCCTCTTCTGTAAAATGGGGACAAGTGCCACCTGTGCACCACACGATAGTTATGAAAATAACGGATGAGTTTGGAACAGGGAGGCGGCTGACAAAGGTTCGCTTGCAGGAGGGAGTGAGGGCATGGAAGGTCTCTGAGAAGGGGTTGTTGCCATCACAACCCCTACCATGAGGGGGAGTCACTAGAAGCTGACAGCTCAAGACACTGGAGAGCTGAACCAGGCCCAGCCCAAGACCGAACTCAGAGCTCCCCACCCCCAGCTGCTCAGTCTCTCCTGCAAGACACCCACCCCCCACCCCGGGAGGCGCCCCTGGTGCAAAGACGGGCTCCTACCTCCCGAGCAGCTCACGCAGGCTGTGCAGCGGCCGTCCCTGTCCAGGTAGTAGTCCCGCTCACACTGCTTCCTGCAGTCGGCGGACCCGAGAGGGCACAGGCGCTGTGGGGACAGCCCTGGGGGAAGAAGCAGAGACAGTCCGGGTCAGGCCACCTGGGCAGAGGCCTCACCTCCCCGCAATCACTAAAGCCCCCCCAGCTCCGTGGCCAAACCCCACACACATCAGGTCCTTCCCCAAAGCAGGTCATGAGGCTCAGAGAGGGAAGGGCTGTGTCTAAGGCCACACAGGAGATGAGCTCTGAGCCCCCTATACCTTTGGTCTCGCCCCCGCCCCCCAAACCATCCACCATTCCCACTATGCCAGGACCCTCTCTCCACGCTCACTCCTCAAAGCTTTGACAGCCACTTGCCCTTTGAGATCAGCAATGAGGCAAGGAGCTCAACCATCACAAGGTCTATTCAAGCAGACAATGCAATAAGGCAAGAAAAATAAATAGAAGTGACAGTTTTTAGAAAGGGAGATATCCATCTGTTATAGACATGATATCCCCGAGTGCCCAGATAATCCCAAAGAATTTGCAGGTGCATCATTAGAACTAACAAGTGAACGAGCAAGGTAGTTGGATACAATGTTCCGATATCTGAGTCAATTAAATGTCTGTATATGTGGGATGAGCTATATGGAAATACTGTTTTGATAGGTCAGCCAGTCAAATATTGGCAATTTCACACAGTTCAAAAAGAATTGGAACATGACGTATTGAAAAAGATATCGTTGGATCATCACCAGAAATATCAAATACCGCCCTAACTGGTTTGGCTCAGTGGATAGAGCGTTGGTCTGTGGACTCAAGGGTCGCAGGTTCGATTCCGGTCAAGGTTCGATTCAGGTTCGATTCTGGGTTGCAGGCACATGCCCAGTGGGGAGTGTGCAGGAGGCAGCTGATCGATGTTTCTCTCTCATTGATGTTTCTAACTCTCTATCCTTCTCCCTTCCTCTCTGTAAAAAATCAATAAAGTATTTTTTTTAAAAAAAAGAAATATCGAATACCTAGATCTCCAACAAAAACATGTAAACATCTCTACATAGAAAAAAATAATAAAGCATTATTAGGAGAATTTGAAGAAGGCCTAAACAAATGCAGGGCTATGCCATGTACTCAACACTGCAGCAGTGGATTCTCTCCAAACTGATCAACAGCTTCACGGCCACCCTTATTGAAATCTCAATAGGACACTCTGTGGGATTTGAAAAGCTTATTCTAAAATGTATGTGTTGTGCAGTGGTTGAGCATTGACCCATGAGCCAGGAGGTCACAGTTCAATTCCTGGTCAGGGCCCATGCTGGAGTGTCAGTAGGGGGTGTGCAGGAGGCAGCCAATCGATGATTCTCTCTCATCATCGATGTTTCTGACTGTCTCTCCCTCTCCCTTCCTCTCTCTTAAATCAATTTAAAAAAAAACGTTAAAACTAACTTTATAAATGCATGTGGAAACGAAAATTACTAGAAGAGCCAATACCAGAACAAAGTTGAAGAAGTTGCTCAACCATCCAGGAAGACTTACCGAAAAACGACAGGAATTAAGACAGTACAGTGTTCACACAACAGACAAGAAGACTCGTGGGACAGGAGACAAAGTGAAGAATCACCCCCACACAGACATGGACTTGTGACATACATTAAAGCTGGCATGCAAAGCTGCGGGGAAAGGACGGTTTATTTGGTAAATGGTGTTGGTTCAACTGGATATCCACGTGGACACTTTTACCAGGACCGCTGCCTCACACCATACGCACGCACCACGGCAGATGGCAGAGCTCAACATGGAAGGCGAAGCAATAGTGATCCCAGACGATAAACACAGGATGACTCTGAGAGCTCGGAGCGGGGGACGTCTTACAAGGCAGAACACAGAAAGCGCCCGGCACAAAGGAAAAGATGGACCCATCCGACTGCATTAAAATTAAGAACACCTCTTCAGGAAAAGACACCGTGAAGAGAATGAGAAGGCAAGCCACGGGGTGGGGAACGCATTTGAGCACAACTGTAGGACAAAACCCAGAATTATACGAAGTCCTACAAGTGAATTTTTTTTAAAAAGCAACAAGAGAAACGAAAAAATTACATTCGCACCAAGATTTTTCAGTATTCAGTATAGCCCCAAAGGGGAAACAACCCAAATATCTATCTAAATAAGCCGTGTAGTGCACCTCTACCGTGGGAGGCTATTAAGTAACAAACAGGGGAGACTGGAGGCCCCAACCCGTCGCCATGGGAACCAGGAGGGCGCCAAACCGACACCTGCAGAGGCTCACCTGCTCAGTTGCAAGCAGCAGCACCAACCTGAGAGTCCGGCACTCGGGAGGCACCCCAAGCTGCTGGTAAGAGAGTGGGTGCCCCCACTGTCTACTCTGGCTCTCAAGGCCTCAGCCTCTCCTCCCCACACTGGGAGACCACAGCTCAGGGCCTGCCTGCCCGGCCCACCCCGCACAGGTCACCCACCGATCAGACACCGTTGCTATGGGAAACAGCCTGTAGCTCCTCTGCAGAAATTACCTGGATCCAGCCTGGGCTTCCCCACGGGGGAGAGGGAGTTGGGAGCCCTCATCATTTTGGAATCAGCTTCGGGGGTGAGAGGAGTGTCCCCTTCAAGAAGCGGGGTCCTGGCATCGGAGCTGGCTGAGGTCAGGGTGGGCTTGGCCGGAGGGGTGGTGCCGCTGGGAAAAAAGCCAGAGATGGAACGGACGGTTCTGTTGATGGGGCAGGGGAGGTCTGTGCTCAGGGATAACGTTTCTATGGCACAGGGGGCCCCAGACCTCCTGCCCACAGCCCCCGGCGAGCCCCCTGTCAGGGAGCCAGGGATGTGTTTTGTACGCCTCTGGGCCTCCTGTGCCTCCTGCGTAATCAGCGCAGGCAGAGCACACAGTAGGGCCTCAAATGACTTTCAGGGATGGCCTCTCTCCACACTCACTGCTGTGCCCGGAGCCCAGGCACCCTGTGCTGAACCCTACCTGCCCCCCTCCCCCAGCCCAGCTACGGTCCAGGCACCCTGTGGGTGAGACAGCCCCACACTTAGGTGAGCTGGATGGGAAGGGCCGGAGTCACCTGGCAGGCGCCCTGCAGTCCTCCGGGCTGGTGCCACAGTCAGGGCTGGTCCCCGGGGAAGGGGACTCGCAGACGGTGTCCCTCTGCGCTGTGCCTGCAGGGGACACAATGCCTTCAGACTTGGTATTGAGGAGCCCGAAGACGCCAGAAATAGACTTTTACCCACCGCAAACCAGGGTCAGTCCTGGGTGGGCACTTGGCAAACGCAGTGGCATCTGGTGTTCACACCTGCCCAGCCTCCGTTCCCCTGGGGGTAAAGCAGCCTGATTTTCCCTGGGACCACCCCCCCATCTCAGTATCTGTTTTAGGGCTGATTTTTTACCCACCGCAAACCAGGGTCAGTCCTGGGTGGGCACTTGGCAAACGCAGTGGCATCTGGTGTTTTCACCTGCCCAGCCTCCGTTCCCCTGGGGGTAAAGCAGCCTGATTTTTCCTGGGACCCCGCCCCCCCCATCTCAGTATCTGTTTTAGGGCTGATTTCCTCCCCTCCCCCTTCCCTTCCAGGAGTAGCCATGGGGCCAGGATGGACCAATCAAATTATTCCATTTCTTCCATTCCTCTGGCCAGGATGGATTGGCTCAGGGATGGGCACGTGACCTAAGCCACGCCTGTCTGAGAGGCAGTGTCAAGGTTTTACTTTTGGTTGTTGGAAATGTAGGACGAAGAAGCGGTCTCCCCGCTGGGGTTGGGTAGGGAGCAAGCCTGAAGCTGCTGGGAGGCGTCTTACAGACACCTAAGCATAGGGGATAGCGATGAGAGGTAGGAAAGGACGGGGCGCCTGGATCCAGCCATACCTGAAGCTACCCAGAGCTGTCACCAGGCTTTTTAGTTACATGTGCCAAACATTTGAGATTTTGCCACTTGCAACCCAAAGAATCCTGAAGACTAATGGGTGGAAGCCGAGTGGGGCGGGTAACTCACAGCGTTCGCCATCAAGTGGGCCTGGGTTTACCTGTCACCCCTATCGTGTCGTAGCCGCACCAGACAAGGCAAAGGATTATAGTAAGAACACCGTCTTCCCCAGGCTGCTGTCGGGACAGAGCGCTGCCCCCATGTGCCTACCACATGGTGGGACACCCAGCAGGTACCCAGGGAGTACCATGTCCCTTTCCGCATCTGGACTCCTGCCCCATCGCTGAGACAGGACCTGGGGGTGACCTTCAAACCCTCGCCCGATGTTCTCCGCTCGGTGGTCCTGCTCGATGTGCCTGCCACCTGGACCTCCGTTTCCTCCCTGCACGATGGAGCGCATGCCGTCTGCCTCGTGGGATTATGTGAATTTCAGGAACAGGAGCTGTGCAAGCTCTTAGCTGGGGCTTAGCGAGAACTGAACTTGACCCAGAAACTACTTTCCATTTTACAGTTGGAGAGATCTTGCCTCTCTGGGAGAGCCCACGGGGGAACCTAGAAGTTAGCCAGGGTTTGGCAGCCAAAGGCTGAGCCCTCCCAACGCGGCCCTGTCCCACAGGAAGGTGATGAGACCACACGGGTCATTTAAATCTTCTAGGAGCCACATTAAAAACAGTACAGCCCTGGCCAGGGTGGCTCAGCTGCTTGGGCATCAGCCCGTGCACCAGAAGGTTGCTGGTTCAATTCCCAGTCAGGGCACACGCCCGGGTTGCAGGCTCGATCCCTAGAAGGGAGCAAGCAATCGATGTTTCTCTCTCAGCAATGTTTCTATCTCTTAAAAAGAAACATGTGAAATTAATTTAAATATGTTTATTTTACTCAATGGATCTAAAATATCATGTCAGCAGGTAATCAATATAAAAAATAATTATGAGCCCTAGCTGGCTTGGTTCAGTGAATAGAGCATCAGCCTGTGGACGGAAGGGTCACGGGTTTGATTCCAGTCAAGGGCATGTGCCGGGTTGCGGGCTCGATCCCCAGTAGGGGGCG